CTCTTCCATTGCAGAACAATCTTCTGTATTGTTTTGTTTTCATTTGGTTTGTTTTCCTTCTCTTCATACTATTTGATGAACTCTTTCTTAGAGGAGGATTAACTATATGATCACAAAGTATACTGACAATAGATCATTGCAAAAATTAAGAATAGGAACCCGGGTGGGACAAAGTTTTGGACTGTGAGCAGGAGGGAGGGAAGTCCCTCCCCCTAAATCTGTTCCTAAATCTGTGTATATGAAATACATGAAACTTGTATAACTTAAATAAAATTTTTAAAAATGACTTAAGGGATACAGCAAATGTAGTTTTTTTCAAATATTCATTTATTTATTTGAATTACACAGAGAAAGAAGGAGAGGCAGAGAGAGAAAAAGGGAGAGAGATCTTCCATCTACTGGTTCAGTCTACAATTGCCTGCAATGGCCAGAGCTGTTCCATCCAAATCCAGGAGCCAGAAGCTTCTTCTGGGTCTCCCACATGGGTGCAGGGGCCCTAGGACTTGAGCCATCTTCCACTGTTTTCTCAGGCCATAGCACAGAGCTGGATTGGAAGTGGAGCAGCCAGGACTTAACTGGCACCCATATGGGATGCCAGCACTGCAGGTAGTGGATTTACCCACTACACCACAGCACCAGCCCCCAGATGCAGTGTTGACAGGGAAGTTTATAGCAATTAATACGTACATCAAGAAATTGGAAAAGTACCAAATAAATGAGTTATTAATGCATCTCAAGTATCTAGAAAGACAACAACAAACCAACTCAAAATCAGCAGGAGGAAAGAAATAATTAAAATTAGAGGAGAAAGAAAAATTGAAAACAAACAAAAAAAGAATACAGAAGATCAGTGAAATAAAAGGCTGGTTTCTTAAAAAACTAATTAAAAAAAGAGAGAGAAGACCCAAATCAATAAAATCAGAGATGAAAAAGGAAATATAGAAACAGATAATACAGAAATAAAAAGAATCATCAGGAAATACTACAAAGACCTGTATCCTAACAAATTGTGGAAACCCAGAAGAAATGAGAGATTCCTGGACACATGCAATCTACCAAAATTGAATCATGAACACATAGAAAACCTCAACAGAGCATAACCAATATGGAAATTGAATCAGTAATAAAGACCCAGAAAAGCTCAGGACCAGATAGCTTCACTGCTGAATTCCAGACATTTAAAGAACTAATTCCTCTTCTTCTCAAGCTATTCAAAACAATTGAAATGGAGGGAATCCTCTCAAACTCCTTCTATGAGTTTTTTTTTTTGCCTTAATTCTTAAACCTGAAAAAGAAACAACAGAGAAAGAGAACTACAGTTCAATATCCCTGATGAACATAGATGTGAAAATCCTCAACAAAATATTAGCTAATCAAATACAACAACACACCAGAAAGATCATGACCAAGTAGGATTTATCCCTGGTATGCAGGGATGATTCAACATTTGCAAATCAATGTGATACATCACATTAACAAATAGAAGAAAAACTATATGCTTATATCAATAGATGCAGAGGCAGCATTGGATAAAATACAATGTCCTTTCATGGTGGAAATCTTAAACAAATTGGGTATAGAAGGAACATACCTTAACACAATCAAGATAATTTATGACAGACTCATGGCTAACAACCCATTGACTGAGAGAAAGTTGAAAGCATTCTCCCTAGGATCCAGAACCAGACAAGGATGCCCACTCTCATCTTTGCTGTTTAATATAGTTCTGAAAGTTTTATCTAGAGCCATTAGGCAAGAAAAAGAAATCAAAGGGATACAAATTGGAATGGTGGAAGTCAAACTATCCATATTTGCAGATGACATCATTCTATATAGAAGGGACAATAAGACTTTATCAAGAGACTATTGTAACTACTCCACGAGTTTGGCAAAGTGTCAGATATAAAATAACACAAAAATCTATAGCCTTTGTATACGCAAACAATGGAGTGGCTGAGAAAGAACTTTTAAGATTAGTCCCATTCACAATAGCTACAAAAAAAAACTAAATACCTTGGAATAAATTTAACTAAGGAGGTCAAAGATCTCTACAATTAAAATTAAAAAACAAAAAAGAAAGAAATAGAAGAGGATACCAAAAAATGGAAAAATCTTCCATGTTCATGGATTGGAAGAATCAACATCATCAAAATGTCAAGATTACCAAAAGCAATCTACAAATTCAATGTGAACCCAATCAAAATACCAGTGACATTTTTCTCAGATCTAGAAAAAAAAAACACAAGAAACCTTGAATAGAAAAAGCAATCTTAAACAATAAAAACTAAAATGGAACCATCACAATATAAGTTTCAACACATACTACAAGGCAGTATGATCAAAACAGCCTGGTACTGGCACAAAAACAGACATGTCAACCGATGAAACTGAATAGAAACTCCAGAAATTCATCCACATATCTACAACCAACTGATATTTGACAAAAGAACTAAAATTAACCCCTGGAACAAGGACAGTTTCTTCAACAAATGGTTCTAGGAAAACTGGATCTCCACATGCAGAAATATGAAGTTAGGCCCCTACCTTATACCTTATACAAAATTCCACTCAACATGAGTCAAAGATCTACATCTATTAACAAATATCATAAAATTATTAGAGAACATTGGGGAAACTCTGCATTACATGCGAGTAGATGATAACTTTGGAAAAGACCCCAGAAGTACGAGCAATCAAAGCCAAAATTCACAAATGGGATTACATGAAGCTGAGAAGTTTCTGCATTGCAAAAAAAAATGCAAAATGAAGAGGTAATCGACAGAATAGAAGAAAATATTTGCAAACCAAACAACAGATAAAGGGTTAATATCCAGAATCTATTAAAGAGCTCAAGAAATTCAACAGCAACAAAACAAACAATCCAGTTAAAAAATGGGCGAATGTCTTGAACAGACATTTTTCAAAAGAGGAAATTCAAATGGCCAAGAGACACATGAGAAAATGCTTGAGATCACTAGCCATCAGAGTTATACAACTCAAAATGACAATGAGGTTTCACTTCACTCCAGTTATAATGGCTCTCATACAGAAATCAATGAATAAGAAATGCTGGTGAGGATGTGGGGAAAAAGGTATCCTGGTCCACTGTTGGTGGGAATGTAACCTGGTCCAGCCACTGTGGAAGATACCTCAGAAATATGAATATAGACATATTATATGACCCAGACATCCCACTGTTTGGATTTTACCCAAATGAAATGTAATCAGCATATGAAACAGTTATCTGTACCACCATGTTTATTGCAGTTCAATTCACAATAGCTAAGATGTGTAATCAACCCAGATGCTCATCAACTGAGTGAGTATATATTCACTCTGGATTACTACTCAGCTGTAAAAAGAAATGAAATCTGTCTTTTACAACAATATGGATGCAACTGGAAACCATTATACTTAGTAAAATAAGCCAGTCCCAAAAGACAGATATCCCATGCTTTCCCTAATCTGGAGTAACTAATAGAAAACCTAAACCATAATGTTTTGCAGTGAAATGGACATTTTGAGATTTGAATATTTTTTACAACCCTTGTCTCTTCTGTTGAGGAACTGTTTTTTTTTTTTTTAATTTCAGACTATGTGTTGAACTCTTTATTTATTGTAGGGTTAACCTTATGAGTATCAAGTAAACTGAAAATAGAAATCTTTGAAAAATTAAGTGTGGGAATAGGAGATGGAGGAGGGAGAAGGGTTGGAGCATGGGCAGGAAGGAGGTTAGGATAGGAAGCATCCTATGGTCCTAAATCTGTATATGTGAAATACTTGAAATTTATATAACTTAAATAAAATTTTAAAATGGAATGAAACTAGAAATCAATACAGACAGAAACTTCAAAAGTTTACAAATATTAAACCAATGGATCAAAGAATAAATCACAAAAGAAATTAGAAAATATCTTAGACAAATGAAAATGAAAACACAACAACAACAAAAACATGTGTGAAAAAAGTGCTGACGGGAAAACCAATAGCTGTAAATGAAATATGTTTATAAAGAAGATGCTACTTAAAATACCCACATCCCATATTGGAGCACCTGAGTTCAAGTACTGGCACCACTGAAGTGCCCTTCTGAGGCTGGTATCCCCCACCAGAGGGTGCTCTCTCTGAGTGTCCACCCCTCGGGGTAGATTTGCAACCTACATAGCCCGTAAGTACCAGGATCAGCACCAGCCTGATTTGGAGAAAACAGCCCCCTTGAGCTACACAAATTTCTGGTTCTGTAGCTCTAGGGCTCCCTTAGCTCTCACAATGGCAGAGCTGCGACTTAAGTCCAGATCTACTTTCTGCAAAACCTGACCTGTTAATTCCTGTAACTGCCCATTCTATTAAACTTAATTACAATCCACTGGACCTAGTTCAACCCTCTACAATATGTTCTTTCTGACCATTTTAGGAAAGTAGGAATTAGAACAAAAATAAGATTAAGAAAAAAGCAAAGGCTAATGTGAAGTGCTGTTTTTCTTGGGGTGGGGGGGTAGTGTTGGTTTTTAACTTTTACTACCTCTAAAAAAGGGCTTCCTATGTCAGGTGCTACCTCCAAAGATGTCCACCTTAATACTTCCAGTGGTAGGGGAAAAGATTGTATAAAAGCACCTAGGGAAAGAAGATGCATGAAAGAGAAAGCATCCTTTTTCGAGGTCAAATGAATATGATAATGATGAGTATCTAAGAAGTCACTTAAAAGATACACCTGAAATCATATGTGTGCAAATTAACCATTCTTTGAATCCAACATCCAGAACAAGAATGACATTTTAATTTGAAAATTGTCTGAAAATTCTTCTTATTCAACTCATAAGGTTGAAAATATCAGGCTTAGATGGAGAAAGATTGTCAAGAAATTCTCAACCATAAGCAACGTACTTTGAGTTTCCCAAGATAGCCTTTAGAGCCAGGTAGCAGAGACCTGGAAACTCCACAGAAGCAGGTCTGGGCTATAGCGCAGCTCAGCTATTAAGGCTCTCACACATGCAACTCACCATTGTAGCAGTGAATGGGATATTGTCAATCAAGGATGATGCCAAGGCTGATACCCATATAACCAGGATGATGGCGGCAGCTAGGCGCTTATCCTCTGGGACCATCTGGAAGGAGCAGATAATAGCAGCAGTGTGTCCACAGCTGTACTGATAAACCACATGTACTTAGAATCTAATCTTACAACATGTGAGACTCAGAAGGGATCAAAGGGATGTTACAATTCCAAGACCAAGGCAGGCACTGGTGTACAAACCAGGGCCACACCTACACCAGAAACCTGAGCTAGGTTACCATGAATAACTGAGGAGAGCAATTCCCAGCCAAGCTCAGGCCAATTAACCTGGTAGTGAGGGATGCAGAGTAACTCATTCCTCATACAATATTGTGGCTATGCACACTGGTCTCACCAATGGTGTAGCAGAGCTCTGGGGTTAGGACATCTTCAGCATTCAGTTACTAATACTCATGTTGACTGTGCTCCAACTTAGAAAAGTTTTAACTAAAAATTAAAAACAAAATATCAGGCATCTATAATTATATATTCTTTGGAAAAAGACTTCCTTCATCCCTAGTCTGTCCAGGATAAAAGATTCCCTGCTGTGCTTTCTACATAATTAACGTGACCTATTCTTTCCAGACTCTTTTTTTTTTTTTTTACAAAATCAAAGAATAGTGGCTGGAGCAGATTCTATTACAGCATTTAATGTACCTTTATTAGCAAAGCAGTCTGCTCTCCGACATATTCTATTAAATGGAGATGTGCCAGCGCCTAGAAGAAAGGGTGTATGGTGAGAATCAGCTGAAAACTGAAAATATATGCAATGTTCCTTTTTAAAAACCTTGTCTTTAAGATGAAAAGAATTGAACATAAGGTAGGCTCAGACTTTTGCTTCCTGTAAAAGATCTGGCTCAAATAGATAGTCTATAAATAGTTTACTATCATATATACACAATGAAGCTTCATGAAGAAAAAGTACAATAGCACAGGCAGGAATTCCTCATTGATTTGTTTTAATGCCCATGTTAAATCTAAATTCAAATGGAAAGCAATCTCTTTATTTTAAGATCTGTGTATAAGGACATTGTTCAATTGCATATAATGAAATGCCACTCCATATAGAAGGTCTTTCAAGTAAATTGCATTTCCAATTTCTTTTTAAAAGTTAAACCTCACAGTTAGAGCTTTAAAAGAATAAAAAGATAATGCACGGTTTTTATTACCTTCAAAGAAAGGAAGGAAAGGTCTATTGAACTGAAGTGTGTCACTATTTTCACAATACTAGTCAGATGTAGAAAGTTGTATTCAAGGAAATATAAAAAAGAAAATAGAAAACGGAACATGGACATGCATAAGCAATTCTGCTCTCTTGTTACCTTGGTCCCAGCACAGGAGAGGATGTTCAGGAACCCATGATGGATATGGGAAGGGAAGGAATCAGGAAGGAACCAGACATGGAAGCAGCTTGGCTGCTCCGGACCTCACCTATGTGGCCTTGCACTGTATTTGATCTTGCATAGTGTCTAAAAATACTGAAAGCATCAATGTGGCCATGACTACATATGAGGATATTTTAAATGGAAAAACACCTAACATGAAAAAATTATGCATGGATCTCAAGACATTTTACACTAAAATAAACTTATCTTTTATTTCCAATTTCCATGAACATTTTGAAATATTCTTATATAAGTTTAAAAATTCCACTCAATAAGGTACAGTTGTTAGCTGGCCTCCATTTAAAAGCTGCGTAGTCCAAATGATGGGTTTTAAATTCTCAACCACGTTCATTTTTATATCAACTAAATCATAAATATATTTAGGGCAGGGTTTCTCATCCTAAACAGTGAAGACATTTGGAGTCAGGTCATTCTGTGTTGTTGGGGCTGACCTGTGCATCAGAAGATGCTGAGTAGCATCCCTGGCCTGTAGCACCTCTCTCCACCAAGGTTTGTAGACAGAGCCAAGATTTCCTGAGGCCTAAAGTCCCTCCCATTAAGAACCAGTAACTTACTGTAATCCAAATTTTATTAAAGCAAACAAAATTATAAACTTGAAAAACTCAAATGTAGCCATACCTTTATCATTATTAAATACCACTGAGAAGTCAGAAATTTAATAAAATTCAATTTTGCACCACATAGAGATAGCTCTTCATACATGAGTATATGTCCACATACGAAGAGTATTATATACACATCTTCATGTGTGCCTATAGAAACTATATATTAATATATATTTAATGACAATTATCCCAAAAATGCATCTATTAAGTCTGTTCAAAATAACTGGTCTTTTGATTTTAAAAGTCAAAATATGAGGAAAATACCTTATTCTCTTTTAAAAATTGGTAAATCAAATGATTATGTAGCACCTTCTCCTATAAAACCTTAGGTTAAAAACATACATTTTTATACTTCAGAAAATTTGGTTTACGTACAGTTGAAAACAATACCCATTGCTTATTTCTCCATCTACTACTAAGTTATATTTTAAGATTATTGTGCAATATCAATCAAGATATGAGACATCACTAGTCTTTTATTGCAGAAATGCTAAAATGCTGATTCAGCAATAGTCTGATAAAATTGACTCATCCATATAAGCCAATACTATGGTCATTGCCATCACTAGAAGATCCGTGGATTCCTTCTGTAGCCAAGCAAGCATTGGATAAAACACACTTTTTGGCACATTACTGAATTAGCAATATAACTTAGGGTTTTCCAAGGAATCTCTCCATAGGAAAATGTTTTTTCAGCTGAGTGGGAATTTCAAGACTTTTGTGGCAGACAAAGACAGAGTTGCCTGGAAGCTTGAGGCTGATAATGCTCTTCGATGAGCAGAGCAGATGTGGGCTATGGTGCTCTTTACTAGAGTCCTCTGTGATGAATTTTACAGTGAAAAAATGTTCTTCACTCTTTTACATTGTGTTATATTCTGATTGATCTTCACATTTCTCAAGACAGCTGAGAATATAAAAGCTACATGACTTTCATGTTATACACTCTAGGATTACTTTTTATAAAAGTAAATCAAAAAAGTTAACTTATATGCCAGAAAAAAAAATAGCCAAGGAGAACTGGGAAGCCATGAAAGAGCCTGATTTGTAATTTGGTATGATTTATTAACTACTAACAAGAAAGTATTACATACAACCCATAAATCAGAGCATTTTATTAACATTGTTACAACTTTTCCTATGAAAGCCTTGCTACAGCTAAAGATGTCCCTCTGGAAGAGATACAAATAAATCTGGATCCACGGGAAACCTTTCTTTTTTTAAATTTATTTGACAGGTAGAATTATAGACAGTGAGAGAGAGAGAGACAAGAAAGAAAGGTCTTCCCTCTGTTGGTTCACTCCCCAAATGGCTGCTATGGCCGGTGCTGCACCAATCCAAAGCCAGGAGCCAGGTGTTTCTTCTTGGTCTCCCATGTGGGTGCAGGGACCCAAGAACTTGTGCCATCCTCCACCGCCCTCTGGGGCCATAACAGAGAGCTGGACTGGAAGAGGAGCAACCAGGACTAGAACCCAGTGCCCATATGGGATGCTGGCACCACAGGCGGAGGATTAACCAAGTGAGCCACAGTGCCAGCCCAGGGAAACCTTTCTAAACTTCATAAATGTTTAAGGAAGGAAATGAAGACAAAATAAGAACATGCTATATAAGAGCAAAGAACATGCAAAATAATAACCAGGAATTCACCAATGCTTCTAACACAACCAAGAGATAATAAAATTAGTTGTTCTCTTTCTTCTCACTTTAAGATTCTGATAAAAATGTCCTCATAAGAAGCCTTCTCAGTCAAACCGATCTGAAAAGCACTCTACATAGCACCAGAGAAAATTGTTCTGAATGACTATTATACCTCTGGATACCCGATTTAACTTATAAACATAGCACTTCATAACTATTCAATCTTCATAAGCCAACCTCCCATAGTTCTCAGTCTTATGCATTCCTTTATTTGTTTGACAAATAGTTATTGAGTGCTTACAATATGAGGCACTGTTGGAGCACTGAGAATTCAACAATGACTAAGAAAGACAGACAAGAAATAATTTATATTTTCTATATTTGTTATATGTGTGCATGTTTGTATGTGTCTATATATATATAGACACACACATATATGTATATATGTATATATACATATATAAATATATAGACACACACAAACACGCACTCCCAAAGACACAAAATATATTAATGCATAATAGACAGTTAGTTGTTGAAAGGAAATTAAAGTAGAATAAAGAGATAGTGAATGATGGGAGAGCTTTTTGCACTGTGCTGGGGAAGACCTCCCTTCATATGCATTATTTGAGCATGAACTTAGAGGATTGTACCAGTTGCCAGTGTGCTTGGGAAGAGCACCACAGATATAGGTGACAAATCCAAATGCTCCTGGATATAGATAACAGGTCTAAATGCTCATTCACATATCCAAAAGCCATTATTACTGGGACCCAGTGAGCAAGGGAACCTACAGGTATAGTAGGACATAATGAGTGCAATAGTTTGAATGTAGTTTTTCCTGTGTGTTTCATGTGTTGGAAGCTTGGTACTCAGTGTGGTTGTGTTGAAGTGGTAGGACCTTTAAAAAGTTGATCTAATAGGAAGGAGTTAGGTCACTGGGAGTGCTACCCTCAGAAGGAATTCATGCTGATTTCAGGGAGAGTTATCTTAGGATAAAGTGGTTATGAAATGCAAGACTTGCCTCTCCATGATCTTTGGTTTCCTGCCTAACCATGTGATCTCTCCTTCTCACATGTGCTCACACCGTGATGTCATCTGCCATGAGGTGAAACATCCAGAGTCCTCAAGAGCCAGCATCATGCTGTTTGGAATCTCAGCCTCCAAAACTGAGCTAAATAAATCTTTTCTTTATACATTACCCAGCTTCAGGTGTTTTGTTATATCAATGGAAAATGGACTAATATTCAGTATGAAAGTAGCAGCTGTAACCAGGTCATTCATGGCTGTATAAGTCATGCTTTAAAGCTCTGGATTTTATTCCAAGTGCAATAAGGACAATATGCCATTGTCAAAAGCACTGAAAGCTATTGCTCTTGTCAAAGGTGCTAAAAAATTGAATGATATTTATAGGAGTACAGAAGTTTACCTGCTGTTCAAAATTCTCCAAAGAGATCCAAGTGGCACTTGAGGGCTAACTTTTCAATATCACAGAGCAGAAAAAAAAAAAAAAACAGTGTCTCATTTAAGGGTCTCAAACTAAAAGCCTACTGGAAAATCAATAATTCTGTTTAATCTCTAATAGAACCCCAAGACAGCTGCTGGAAACCCTTGTTTTATTCTTAGGAGTTCTACATAAAGGTAGGTTTAAATATACTTTCATAAATGTTTAAGCTAACAATTAAGAGAATAAAAATATTACCTATAGCTTCAAAACATGGGAAAAGAGATAAAAAAAACAATTTTAACAACATACATCACTATATGGGAAAATGAAATATACCAATATATCAAACATAAGACATAACAGTGAATAATTTAAAATTAGATTCCATACATCCTTTACCAAAAACAAATGACAGAAAGGTAGCAAATGGGCAATTGCACAGTACGTTCAGTCCAGAAAAATGGCATAAACCCCTTTCTCTCTGTTCATACAACTAAGTACAACTGTAAACCCTGGAAAGATAACAAGAGGCAACCAAGAGGACAAGCGGGACAACACAGTTTTACAGTGCCTTTTGTGCTACAAATCAAGCATTTCCCAGTGACACCCTACAGCAAGAGAAGA